CGGGCGTTTCCTTCCCACGCGCACAAGCGAGCCCTGGGTCTCGGCCCCGGGACTCCACCCAGTCCCTCCCGGCGCGCTGGGAAAAGCCAGTCGCCACACACAGGCACACGCAGGCCCGGCGCCGCGCCCTAAGGAGAGCAGCATCCACGGCCAATTGCCATGGCAACCTCGGGGTTCGTTCCACTTCCCCACCCAGCCGATCCCCCCTCCTCCCTGCGCTGCAGCCAACCGGCTTGTGAGCGTCCCAGGAGCGCCCTATAAAACCTGCGCCGGTGGCGCTGGCCGTGAGCGGGGCGCCCGACCTCGGGGAAGGCGAGCACGGCCAATCTGCGGCGCAGAAAGTCTCCCTTTGTAGAAGCGGGACAGAGAAGCCTGAGCATGCAGGGTGTGCAGAGCACGAGCCTCTGTCTGCGAAAGCAGTGCCTTTGCCTGGCTTTCCTGCTCCTCCACCTCCTGGGACAGGTAAGCCGCGCACCCTTAAGGTGCCCCTGGCTACTTTGCCCTCCTGGGTGGCCCTTGCTCGGTCCTAGGGTTCGCTCCGCCTTTGACTGTCCCTGCTGAGGGGTTTCTTCTTCTTGTCTCGCCCGCCCCTAGGTCGCTGCAACTCAGCGCTGTCCTTCCCAGTGCCCAGACAAGTGCCCCGCGACGCCGCCGACCTGCGCCCCCGGGGTGCGCGCAGTGCTGGATGGCTGCTCCTGCTGTCTGCTGTGCGCCCGCCAGCGCGGCGAGAGCTGCTCGGAGCTTGAGCCCTGCGACGAGAGCATTGGCCTCTACTGTGACCGCAGCGCGGACCCCAGCAACCAGACTGGCATCTGCATGGGTAATGCTGTCCCCACCGCCTCTCGACCTCTTAGCGCGCACCTGGTGGAGCTGATCCTCCTCTCCTCTCCCCTTCCTCCCCTTCCCAGAGGGTGATAAGCAAATAACAATAATAGCAATAATAATAATAATAATAGTAATAATGCAATAAGCAACGTTTATGGGGCACTCATTGTGTGCCAGGCATAGTCTGGGGGAGCTTGGGGCTTTGGGAAGCGCCAGAAGCCAGAAGCCACCTGCCCATGGAGGTGAGAAGCACTCATCACTTTCCTCCCTAGAGAAGACTCTAAATAGAGGGGAGGGGAACAGAGTTAAGGGCCAGTGAGGTCATTTCCTTTGGACATTTCCAGGGGAACACTTGAGGATGATGGAATTTTGAACTTAACTCACGCGTTCACAGTTCCCCCAACTGCAGCCCAGCAGGTCTGTTTTCACACCTGTAAGTGTCCTCTTTGAGCCAAAACAGCCCCTAGTCTCCTGCGACAACTATGTAACACCCGTCTGGGCTTCCAGTAAAAAAAAAAATACAGGTAATTAGCCAATCCAGACTCATAAAATTTAATCAGTGGGGGATCAATCTTCCACGTGCTGAACCATCGCACTTGGAGGCAGTCCCTGCCTCCCTTTATCTGAGGGCTTGGGTAGATTTTTACTTTTTTCTCTAAGCTCATGACACTTTATTCTTTGTGAATGCCAAGGAATCCTTACGCCCTTCCCAGTTTGATGGGTTAACCAATTTGGAGAATATGAAGTGCATTTTTTCTCTTTTTAAGTCTAAGCTGCTGGAGTATGAGAATGTAAGGAGGCTCTTGCAAAATGACTATCATTGGGAGCAACAGATATGGGGACCTGGGAGTCACTTCACAGTTGCACACTTCTTTCCTCACTCATAAAATAAGTGGCAGGTTTGGATGGTCTAGAAGGTTTCTTCTTGCTCTCAGAAGCCTCTGTGAGGACATCTTTCCACTGGAGATGCATGAGAAACCAGATTGCCTGAACTAGACAAGGAATGACTTGGGGTTTTGAACATGTCCTTGAATAGCTTCTCCAGTGTGTTGTGTTCTTGTTTTTCTCTCTCCTCTTTCCTCTCTGCTTTGCTTCCCCAATATTCTAGTGGTAGAAGGAGACAACTGTGTGTTCGATGGGGTCATTTACCGCAGTGGAGAGCAATTCCAGCCAAGCTGTAAATTCCAGTGCACCTGCAGAGATGGACAGATTGGCTGTGTGCCCCGCTGTCAGCTGGACGTGCTACTGCCCCAACCTGACTGCCCAAATCCAAGAAAAGTTGAGGTGCCCGGAGAGTGCTGTGAAAAATGGGTCTGTGGCCCAAATGAGAAGGGGACGTTAGGAGGACTTGCCCTTCCAGGTGAGAAACTCAGGTGAAAACACTAGGGGTGGTCACAGCACAGGGTAAAGGCAGGCAAGAAGAACTTGAAATCTTTGGGGTTTGTGATGAGAAACTGGCCTCAGTTTCTGGCCATTCAGCCATGGATTCCAGATTGCCCAGTGAGATTAAACACTCCATGTCTTTAAATCCAAGCGAAGTTATTGAAGTAGGCACACAATTTCACCTACAGAGGACTTCCCAAATTCAGTCACTTTTTTGCCTTATTTTTGTCTTAATTGAATGACTGCTATTTGTATTTTAGTCCATCCTTCCCATGTGACTCTTATTAGCACTAAAAAGATGTAAGTAAAAGTTCTCTTTTCTGGATTCTGTGCACTATCTATGCTCTCTCAAAACTAGTCTCCCTAAAGAATGCTGCTCATCCCTGGACAAGTGTCACAGAGAAATGTCATCTTTCCAGATGCTGTAGGAAGGGTCAAATGACACATCAGGAACTTTGTTTTGTTATTTTTGTTTGTTTGTTTTACCTTATAAATGAAATTGGGGGGTTTTTTTGTTTGGTTTTTGTTTGCATCAGGAACTTTGTTTTGTTATTTTTGTTTGTTTGTTTTACCTTATAAATGAAATTGGGGGTTTTTTTTGTTTGGTTTTTGTTTGTTTGTTTTAAGAAAAAAATCTCAAGAGGCAGTAGAGAATATTTTAAAAACCTTCAATCAGCCATATTATTTATAATGATAACATCCAGAGTTTTACAGTATTTCTGAGGTCAGAAATTATCAGCCATGCATGCCTTAAATATAGGAAAACTGCCATGTAAAAGAGAATATGTGCCCCAAGCTACATTTTGGGACAGAACTTTTTGTAGTCAAAGCCAAAACAACCCATTCTACCCTTCTAAAGCAAAATATTCCTTTCATCACTATTCTGACTTGCCTGATACTACTTGCTCATCGCAATTAAAGTTTTATCTTGGTCCTTTTTATGTACAAAATCACATGCTGAAAATGCTACAGTTTATGGAATGGTTGTTGATGCCGTACTATTCTATACTCTTAAAAGTACTAAGCTTCTTAAAAGCAAATTCACCTAAACTTCTAAAGGTCAAGGTGGATACTCATTCCAAAGATTTCTTGAAGATCTACAATGTGTCAGGCATTATGTTACCTAATTGGGCTTTATAAATAAAGAGATCCTGTTTTGTGCCCTGGGAGCACTGGGGTTAAGTCGATACAGAACTGAGTGAGAACCACTTTTAATGATAGCTGAAAGGACCACTTTTCAATCTCCACATTTTACCCAATATAGCTGTCTTTATTTATGCATCCCATAGCCTTCAGGTCAGAAGCCACCCTAGGAGTTGAAGTCTCTGACTCAAGTATCAACTGCCTTGAACTTACCACAGAGTGGAGTGCGTGTTCCAAGAGCTGTGGCATGGGTTTTTCCACCCGGGTCACCAATAGGAATCGGCAGTGTGAGTTGGTGAAACAGACTCGGCTCTGCATGGTGCGGCCTTGTGAACAAGAGCCCGAGCAACCAACAGATAAGGTAGGAGCCTGGAGAAAACCTGTCATCATGCAGGCAGTGGCCTTGCCTCCTCGGAGCTTGGGTTTCAGAAAGTCACTGTGACAGTAGTTGACTCAGAGGTCAGCTTTAGCTGGGAAATAACCCCAAAGAAAAGGCAGAGAGGTTCCGAAGCCAGCCTGAGTGTCTTCTTTTTCTCTCTCTCTTTAATGTATTAAAATACTCCAGGCAACTCACAGCAGTTCTACAGGTAAAGAGGGAGAGGATAAACAAGTGTAATGCTTTTCCCAATTGAAAACAGTCTAGCAAACCCAATTGCATTCCTGGAGAAAACTGTTTACACACTTGTCAAGACTAGCTGATTTTAGAGAGGTCAGTTCTGACTTCAGTTTCTTTTATGCCTCAGGTTCACCCTATGTAAAGCAACAAGGTAGAGACCATGTCTGCCTTACTTTCAGTCCCCAATACCTTACATGGTACATATTGTGTGCATGATAAGCAATTATTGATGAGTAAGTGAATGGGTGTCTGGGAATTATTTTTGGTATTTTTAAAAGCCTAGTGGAAATAGTACATTTGCCAGCATAAGGCAATATGAGCCAAATAAAACAGCAAATTTCTTTCCTTTTTTTGCTGGAATTATATCAACTCAGTGTGTTAATGCTGGATGTAAGGCATGCAGATCAGAAGCTCTGATTGGTTCCTGATGACATCACAGACCTTGTCACCAGAGCCCTTTGTCAGATAAATGCAGTTGCCCAAATTGAACCATTATATGGACCCTTGTACAAACCTAAGACGGAAATAAAACAACCCTTACCAATTTAAAATTTACATCTTTCTACACTGAGACAATAACATCTAACACTTACTGGACAACTCTGGAGCCAAATAGCTTGGCTTTAAATTCTGCCTTTCCACATGAACTAGCTGTGTGACCTTGGGCAATTTTCTTAACCTCTCAGCCTCAATTCCTTCCCATAAAATGGGACCATTGAAAGTACGTACCTACCTGAAAGTTGTCATGAGGATTAAATAGAATTAATTTGCAAAGTTCTAGGCATAGATTAAGTACTCTGTTAACATTAGTCATCATTATTTAAAATTCCTATTTATTGGTAAAATAAAAGAATCCCTAGTGTTTGCATTAGTTATATGGCTACTTAGCTATATGATTTATTTTTTTGAGGTCCAACCTAACTTTAAGTTTCTTCCACCAATTTATAAAGAACACCTAGAAACATCATATCCCTAAAATTATAACCCTAGAAGATGCACCTTTCTACACTTTAGGATATTTGACTTACATGTAATGAAAGAGGGTACTTCAAAAAGTTTGTGGAAAAATAGAATTAAAAGAAAATACAAATTTTCCTTGAATTCTTTGAAGCATCCTCATGCAGGTTTGCCCACACAAACGCGCGCGCGCACGCGCGCGCACACACACACACACACACACACACACAGGGTTGTCGCTGGCCTATTGCCTTTTTGTGGATGTTAACAAAAATACATGCTAAATGTTAAAAAATACAAAAAAAAAGAAACAAGACGCCCTTAAATATCTTCAAGGACACAGTAACTTCTTTATTAAATAAGGTCTTTCCATCTCACGCCTCTAAAATTTGGCTTTTTTCTATTGTTTCTTTTCACAATATTTGTATTTTTTTCTTTTAACATGCATCCCATTTAATAGTAGGGGATATTATATTATACTATACTATACTATACTATACTAATTATATTATATTATATTATTTATATTATATTATATTAATGTATAGTATACATATGTCATAAAGATTCTAGAAATTTTTTTGGAATCTAGGAAAATACTCACATGATAATCATTACTTCCTTATCTCCAAGAGATTCTCAAATCTGAGTCAGTGGTTCTTAAAGGAGATCGCCAGACCAGCAGCTGCATCTAAGAGCTTGATAGAGAGGAAATGCAAATTTGTGGACCCCACATCAGATGTACAGAATCTGAAACTGAGTGTGAGGTCCAGCCATCTGTTTTAACAGACCCTCTAGATGATTCTGATGTACACTAATGTTTGAGAGCTACTGATTTAAGAGAATTTCAAGTCTGATCATCCCACAAGCTGCGGGCTGTACCAAGGGAGGTGAGCAGTGGAGAAATGCAGCAAATGAGAGGATGAAGAAATATAAGTAGGAAAGAAAACAGAGTCAATTCTTTGCTGAATCATCAACATTGGGACTCATCATTAACCATTACTAATGGAATCTTAAATAAATTCCTCACTTACTTTGCCTTCATGGAAAATAACCTTAAATCCCACTGTCTTAGAATTTCCTAAGGTCATCAAATAATAGAAAGAATGGATGGAATCTTAAATAAATTCCTCACTTACTTTGCCTTCATGGAAAATAACCTTAAATCCCACTATCTTAGAATTTCCTAAGGTCATCAAATAATAGAAAGAATGGACTTTGTGTCAGACAAATTCAAATACTGGATGTTTTCTGATCACTTCGGGCCTTTGAGACTCTGTTTTTCCATCTATAAACCTAGAGCAATTGTTCCTTCCATGAATAATTGTTCCCTTTACGAATAAATGTTGTTAATATGGTTAAGTAGATTAATGTCTGAAAAGTATTTGAAACATTAGTAGGCACGCAATGATGCTAGTAATTCCCTTTCTCTTTATAACACCTAAGAATGTATTTAGCTAAAAATAACACCAGTCTGTTACAGTAGCTTAAAACATTGGTTTCTTTATCATACATATGCTTTCACCTTCATGCTCATTGCCTCAAGGTCAAAAGATGGTTGGACACAATCAGGCATGGTGTTCGCATTCCAGGCAGAAAGGGAAATGAAAGCAGAAAGCAATAAAGAATTGTACCTGTCCTAAGGGCAAAGGATTTCCCAAATTCCATTGGTTTATGTAGCACTGGCCAGAACTTTATCACAAGGCCATGGCTACCTCCTAGATATTGTGGAGAAGCAAATGCTTTTAGCTGATGACACTGCCCAAACAAAATGAATGTTCTGTTAGCAAAGAAGAAAAACCAGTGGATACTGGGTAGGCAGCTAGCAGGTTATTCCATACCCCTAAAATCATCCCTCAGAGGAATCATAGACATTCCGTGCATCATTCCTCTTCTTCTTTCTTAGAAAGGAAAAAAGTGTCTCCGCACTAGGAAATCTCTCAAAGCCATCCATCTACAGTTCAAGAACTGCACCAGCCTGCACACCTACAAACCCAGGTTCTGTGGGATCTGCAGCGATGGCCGCTGCTGCACCCCCCACAATACCAAAACTATCCAGGTAGAGTTCCAGTGCTCCCCAGAGCAAATCGTCAAGAAACCTGTGATGGTTGTTGGGACCTGCACCTGTCACACCAGCTGTCCTAAGAATAATGAGGCGTACCTCCAGGAGCTGAAGCTAGAGACCAGAAGAGGGGAAGTGTAACATGTTCGTCAAGAAGCATCCCTCCTACAGAGGCAAACTAGCTGCAGCCTGACCCACAATCAAATGAACATAAGAAAAATAACGAAGATACATTATTTTACCCTTGAGTCCTATGTATTTTCTGTGATCATATAAGGACCTTTATATCTGCTTTTTATTAATGAAAGATTTGATTAACTATAAACTTGGAATCAAGGTAAGCTCAGGATATGGCTTAGGGATAATTTAGTTTCCTGTGATGTTTTTTTACAAATACAAATTTCTATAAATTCAAGCAGTCAGATATACCATTTACTTTGTAGACTATATCACATTACCCTCACCTTATTTTGTTATGCACTAGTGCAATTCCAAGAAGATGTCAATGTAACGAATGATATGTTGAAGTCTAGGATCATGCTGAATGTGTCATCATACAAATATTTGACCATATATTTAGGTTTGACTTGAGGGTCTTCTTTTTTTTTTTTTTTTTGTCTTTTTCCGTGTCCGGCAACGGATCGCAACCCTCAGTGTCGCCCCCGTACCGGACCGGGACCGGCAACGGGATTGCAACCCTCGGTGCTGCTCCCGCGCCTCGCTCAGCCAGTGAGTGGGAACCGGTCTGTATGTGGGATCCGAACCCTCGGCGGGAGCGCCGCCGCACTTCGCAAGTGGCGCACTATAGCAGTGCACCACCGGGCCGGCCCAGAGGGTCTTCTACTAGGCTCCCTTTTTGGGTAATTCAACTCTGAGCTTCCAAGCCCAAGATTCAAGGACACATACAGCTCTTCAAAGGGAAGTCCAGAGACTATTAATTTTCCATTTAGTTGTACATTAGGAAACATGCTATATCTACAGTAATGAAATGTTTGTTATTAAGAGGACTGATGTGTTAAACTTTCTCCATTGCAGACAGATTGACTCCTTTCTGATAGAAAGAAGCTAAACAGAAAACTCCCGATGCAGAGATGACTGGGCCCTCACAGCCGTCATGCATTTGTATGCTGGAGGCTGCTGAGGCTCACTAATTATTTAATTCAGCAGAAGCAGAGCATATTAGGAGGGGTCATCTCATCTTATTGATAAGCAAACTGAGACTCAAAGCCCTTGGTTGCAACCTCTGATGACTTTCAAATATGCTTTTAGTGGAATGTTGAAAAATAACAAAATCAACATAACTGTGGTGGTGAGAGACCACAAATTTTATGGCAGTTTAGAATTATTGTAGACATGCCCAAAACTTATCCTTGGGCCATAATTATGTAAACTCACAAACAAGATATATGTATATATTTACATGTGTCTAATTTGTCAGACTATAAGAAAGACTGCAAAATTAAGTTGACACATTCTTCTAATGTCATCATATGTGTTCCACTTTTCTCCTTTAAAGTATTTATAAAAATGTAAATTATACATTTGTAAAATATCCTTTTTAGTTTCTTTACTTGTCAGACATTGCTAAATAAACATGATATTATCGTTGTGTGACTCTGCCGTTACTTTTGTGCTTATAAGTTTAACACTATTGTTTACTGAAAGTAAAAGTAAAATTAAAATTTATGAATTAAATGGGACATCAATCAATAACACCTATTGAAATCAAAATGGATATTTTGGGGTGAGCTTATAACTCCTTTTTAGAACAGAAACGAAAGACAACTCTTTCTGAGTTAGGTGATCTCCACTGCCAAGGCCTCAAATATTTTCCACACCATTTACTCAAAGCAACATCTCAAACCCTGATTTTTTTTTTTTCCTGGACAGCCCACCAGACACCTTTATACATTAAAATTTGAACTTGTTGTCTGAACGAGCAAAACTTACCTCCCTGGCTTCCTTCTCTAATTAAAGAGCTCTCCGTCTTCCCAGTGGCCCAATTTAACCTCCAGCATTTTTTTGATCACTCTCCTCTTGACACAGACCCAGAAAAGCATATTTCCAATGATGAGACATAGCAGGGCCATGAGCAGGGCTGCCATCTGGGCAGCGTGAAAGTCACGATTAACATCAGTTTTGTGTTTTGCAGTTTCTGGCTGATGCAGTGTAGGTCTAAAGTGTTTCTATAATTAAAAAAAAAAAAAAAAACACTTTCCTATTTCTTCAACTTTCCTTACTCTGTATGCAGCCTCCTTCCCACCCCTCTCTTTAGCTAGTTTCTATTTGTCCTTACAGATAGTTCAGAAAGCAAATTAGACTTCTAAGGGTTTATTCATAGGAAATTATTAAGGACAGCTAACAATGTGCTGTTTACTTGCACCATCCTGTTTAAGTTGAACAACAATCCAACAAAGTAGGAATTCTTCATGTCCCCATATTACAGATGAGGAAATTAAAAAAAAATTAAAAGAAACTGGTGGATCTAGAATTCAAACAAAAGTCCTTTTGCTTCTACTTTATTCTACTGCACAGGTATTTGCAAAGATTATAAATCTTTAAGGCTGTTCAATCGAATGTTGTTTATAACTGCAAAAAAATTGGAAACAAAGATCTAACAATATAGATTTGACTAGATAAATCATAGTATATCCATTATGATGAAAAACAAAGCAACTTTAAAATGAGAATATAAGGAAAGAAATTATAAGAAAAAAAGGCATAGAACTATGAAAAAGTGATTTGTTTTTGTTCAAAAGCATCTATGAACATGAGTCAAAAGAAAATGTACAGCAAAATATTATTAATGATTATATCAGGTTGTTCTCATTTTTTTTCTTTTTGAGATTTTTTTCCACCAATTTTTTTAACGGAGAATGTACTACCAAGTAGCCAGGGAAAACAAAGGCCAAATAGAGACGTCCCTTCAAGCACTGAGCCACACACATCTCTACTCACTTGTGCTGAGTTAGCTGCCTCTTCCAGCATCCAAGACATTGATTAATTCATTCATTTCATTCATTCAACAAATACTTTCTGATTGCTTCTGTGTCCCCAGCATTGTTTTAGTTCCTGGGAACACAGCCTAAAACAATAATATATTGTTTGTTGAATAAAATAAACCATAAAATAAGCAAGTTACGTCTTCTTCCTGAAATTTCCAGTCTGTCGGGAAAAGCAGGCAGAAAGAGCAGTGAACAATCAAAGAAGGAAAATATCAAATAGTGAATAAATGAACCCTATGAAGATCATCAGGACAGGATGATATAATAGGGAATTTCTGGGTGGCTAGTTTAGCTTGGAGTAGTCAAGAAGTCTCTTCTGAAGAGATGACATTTTATTTCATCTGAATGGCAAAGAGAAAGAGAAAGAATCTTCCAGCAGAGGTAACAGCTGGTGCAAAGCAAAACAAAACAAAACAAAAACAGTGTCAGGGATAAGCTTAGAGCATTAAGAAGGTCCCCGTGGCAAGAGCACAGTGCATGAGGGGAGATCGGAGGTGATGTGCTTGCAGGGGCTTCCATATGTAGGTTTGCCTCTTCATCAAAGTTCTCACCCTGTTTTACAACTGATTCTTTATAACTCCATGACAAGCCTGTAAAAGCCATCATCTTAGTCTCCTCTGTACCTGCCAAGTTCCTGACACACAGTGGGACTTCACTGCATAGCTGTTGAATAATGAATAAATAAATGAATGAATGGTCTGTGCATTGACAAGAGACACAATGTTCTTTGAAATAAATGTTAGGTTTTTAAACTCACTTTTATTTTGTGTCCTCTGGAGAGCAATTCCCCACTCTCCAGCATATACAAACACACACATGCATGCATTCCAGAAACTATTAATTACAGGCAGTCGAAAAAATGTGGTCTGATATACAAATATTTGCAAAGTTCAGAATATTCTAGTAATAGGGCAAGGGAAGTAACCTTTACTGAGCAGTTTAGGGCTGCAGAAGGAGCACAGGGTTAAGAGTCCTTCTAGCCTGGGTTTGAATGTCAAGCTTATTCTTTCCCAGCTGTGGGATGTTGGGCAATTGCACAGCCTCTGAGTTTCTGTTTCCATATCTGTAAGATGAGACCATAAATTGACAGGGTAACCAATCGCTCTAGTTTTGTCCTGGCTGAGATGGTCTCTGGGACTCAAAACTTTTCAGTTGTAAAATCGGGACAGCCACAGACAAACTGGGAGGAATTCGTCACCATAAATACCATCTTCACAGTGTTATAAGATAATATGTGTTCATAAGTACTGCACTGTGCCTGGCACATAGTAGGCCTGAAAACAACAGCTGTTAATGTAGTAAATATTTAGTAGAACCAAGTGCTGCCTCTTATTCTATGCATTTAATGGTCAGAGGTAGACATTATTGATCTCATTTTTACAGAGAAAGGTAAATAGACTCAAACAAGTTAATGACCTATTAAGGACACAGTAAATGAAGAGTTAGGATTCACACTCAGGGTCTGCCTGAGCTCAGCCAAAGCTCTTTCCTTTCCCCAGTGCCACAGCCACTGAGGCCAAGTGTATTTTCAGCAACCAAAACAATTCCAATAGTTTTCATTTTCGTGCTATTTTCCCAAACTATAAATGTTCTCTTTTAGAAACGACATTGCAAAAGACTGAGACTGTTGACATCATCCTATGAATGTGAAATTTTGAAAGTACTTTATTGCTGGTGTGGTGATAAAGCACATTTCATTGAAAATTATTTGCGGATTTATCTTTTCTTTTTCCACACAAGGATTCAATTGAACAGTGAGGCAAGAATCTTTGACTACACAAGGAGATAATTTGTCACATACATATCTGCACTTGATGAGATTATCAATGAAGCTTTTGCTGGAAATTCCTGGTCAGTATTAGATTTCTCTCTCAATGTCTTCTTTATATGTAGGTATATATTGTCACACTTCTGAACTGGTTTCATGCCAGAATTCTCAATATCATAGTTCAAATCATCAAAACAGTATGTCCTTTTGGCTGTATGCTATCAAGATTAATTTGAAGATCCATTATTGTTGGAAATGTATTCATCTTAACCACACCACATGGCTCTTGCAGGCACTGCTATGCTGTCTTAACCACAGAGGGTTCACAAAATTCAATTACCACTTCAATAACACTGCTGGCACTTACTGAACTCTGAATAGTGAAGAATTCTCTGCAGCCTTCCTGCTGAGGACTGTGAATTACTATTACATTAAGCCAGCTGTTCCAAAGATAATCAGAAGGTGCAAAGGGTAAGCATAGCAACTTTGTACCAATCTTCCTAAAGGATGTGTCTCATTCTCTTTAGGACAAGAAAATGAAGGTCTGAAATTCAGCCCAGAGAGCTCTACAAAAGAATATGCAGTTTCATTCAAATGGCAGGGTTTCACAGAATGAACAACCCACCAGTTCTATAAAAGGAGCTTGGAAATAAATATTTTGCAGTCCAAGAAGAAGATGTAGCTTGGGTTTATATTTTACTAGCAAAATCTGAAAAGCAGGCTCTGCTTGTAGCATAGACTCAGAAGTTTGGAAGATGTTACAAAGTTTTCAACTTGGATTAAATATGGGTCAATATGCTCCAAACTGACCCAGATTTGATCTGCTGAAGCAAGGCCACCCACAAGATCTTTGGAGGACCTTGGCACAGAAGAGCCCAGTAAGAGGGAGTTCTAATTCCTCTGAATGTTCAGCAGTGAGAATCTTCCTTAATAATTTGTAGAGTATGACAGCCCCCCCAGAGAGAGGATAAAAACTACAAGGATCTTGTTGAGAGTGCCATGTCATCTTCCAAATTCCACATCATGGTTCAAGAACCTACTTTAAGTTCACCTTCTCTAAGAAGACTTCTGAACCAGCACCCTTTTGCCCCCAAAAGAACTGACCACTTCCTCCTTTGTGCTCAACTGTTCCTTGTAACAATTACCATCATAGCAGCTAAAACACCAGACCTCCTTATTTGCTTCTATGTCTGTCTCTCACTAGACTCTGTGCTCCATGAGAACAGGGATCTTGTCTGGTTTTTCCCACCACTGCTTCACACAGTGCTTCTCAAACTTTTCCAGCACAATATTCCAAACAGCTGAACATACTGCAGGATCCGGCAGCAGAAACCTAACATCTCACGCCAAAGTTTCTGTGGTGTTTCACATTTTCTCTTAAAAATTGAGGTAAATTTTGACTTCTCCTTAATATATCTATGTTTGTTTAAATATAAATATAACATTTACAATTTTTTTTTTTTTTTTTTTTTTTTTTTGGTGGCTGGCTACTATGGGGATCTGAAACTTTGATGAAATTTCTTATTGGCTAGATTATTTAAATTTTCTCACCCAAATCTTCAAGTATAAATGATGATCCAGAAAGATGCATCATGTTTACACTGAAGCCTCTTGCATATTTTTGCATACTTCACATAGTGAAATTGGCAGAAATAATAACAATAATTCCAAATTTTATCTCACTTTAGGTGCCATCCATTGTAAGATACACTATTAATTTATGTATCAAGAAGAAATTTTTAAATTCTGCCAATTGAACTAGGACACACCACCAACTGTAAGACTCATATGACTTTCAGAAGTGCAAAAAATTTTTAATGTTTATTTTAGAATATATGAAA